GGGCCACCCACATTAGATCCGTTTGCGTTGCGTTGACTTAAATTTGACAGTTAAACAATAGATTTAGCTATCACTTTGCCGCAACGCATCCGATCCGGATCTAATGTGCGTGGGCCTTTAGAGTTACCTCTATGGTTAAACCACCGACAAACCGACATGCCACAGGAGCATTTCGTTTGTTCACAATTCGAATTGTCAAACGAGAGATTCTGTTTATGTGTGGATACCACTGAACTGTCATATAACTGAGGTTAACCCGGTTAACCCCGACGGTAGAGTCGGTGTATAATGAGCATAATGAGTCACGCCAAGAGAAAAGCAGTTGAACTCGCATCACGGTTTTCGATAGATTCCCTTTCTTTTGACTTGGCAACAAAGGACTTCTACGTCAACTTCAAATGACTTCTAGCGAGAAAAAAAAATCAGCGGCTGTAGTAAACAGTAATGTTTTCAAATTATCTCAACAAGAAATACTAGACATTATCATTACTGATCATTATCAAACGTATCCCATGACAATTTAATGCTCACTGCGTTTTTATCCATTCTATTTCTTCGATTATATTATATTTTATTGCAATACCTTTCGTGGATCTTTCATAGCATCGTAATGTTTGTTTACTTTGCAAGATAGGTAGCCGGCTTGACAGTTTAATAGGTAGACTTGGCTTCACTCTTGGCGTGACTCATAATACACCGACTCTACCCGACGGTACAAACCCTTATAAGAGAGGAGCGAACCTGGGACGGGACTTGAGAATCGGTTAGCGATTTCGAGCCAATTTTCTGTCAAATCCGAGCCTGTTTCTGATTGGTCGATTTGACAGTAGTAATCGTGGAATAAAAAGGATATTTTAAAAGGAATTCAGGCTCTTTGAAAAAGGATAGAGGGATCGCATCAATCTGGCTGGCAGTGATGCCGGAATCAATGTTGACGTCAATGGCGTTGCTATTTGTTTATATTTGCGAAAGGAGAGTTGAAAAATTGAGTGCACTGCGTGTTTTAAGCGATGGATATTGTTGTTTGTTTATGGTTATTTTTATTGTGTTGAGCAAAAATGATGTTCAAGCTGCTAGACTGCGGTAGAAACTCCGGATGAAATCCAAATTTAAAATAGAGAAATATTTTACATTCCTGGCACCATTGGTCAACTCCTTCAAACACCACGCACAACTTTCCGAAGGGCATTCTTCAAAAACATTAAGAAGAGTGAGAAGCTCGATTGTCATGTCCCGTCCCGGGAGCAAACTAGCTAGTTTTGGGCCAAACGAACTATCAAAACCAGAGCCAATCGAGCAGCTTGATAGCAATGGCAGTGTTGCTAGGAATCACCTAAGCACGGGTTGCCAAGGCAGCTTGTTTTGAATCCACTCCTCTCTTATACTAGATCCTCTCTACTCAAAACTACCCTCAGATTTCACTTTCCACACGGCGAATGAGAACGACTCAAATTTGATTTTAGTTCACTCATAATCGCCAAAAGTACAGGAACTCAGCGATGAGTAAAATTTGTCCCATGGTTTCCTGTGGAAAACCTAAAAAATCTGCCGGAAAATGAGGAAATTAACGAAAATTTTATTCAGTCTCGGAGTAGTACCAATAGACTGAGGGAATCCAATCTTTACTTTTCTCAAATTCGGGAATTTTTCCCTGGAAAATCCTGGGAAAACATGAGACAAATTTTACTCATCGCTGAGTTCCTGCACTTTTGGCGATTATGAGTGAACTAAACTCAAATTTGAGTCGTTCTCATTCGCCGTGCAAAAAAAGCATCCTGTGATCTGAATTCCCTTGAGATCCTTGGAAATTCCTACTAAATTATTTAATTAAAGTACATAAGCCTATACCAAGGCCCTTAATGTATTTGAAATCGGAGTTTTTGGAATTTATTCTATGTCCGTATTCTTGAATTTCTCCAAGTTTGATTTCATTGAGTCCGATATTTCAAAAAAAAATATAAAATCTCTAGAAATTATCCATGTTCCACAATCTTAAAAAACACAGTTCTAGCCTAAGAATGTATGTTGTTACTGAGGATAAATCCACTCCAGAATGAGTTCTTTCAAAGGGTGAGAGTAAGTTGGGTGTATTAAAGGGTGATACGGTCAAAATTTGGTCAATATCAACTTGACGTATTTCTTTCAATTTTGCATTTAAAAAACCTGAACACCCCTCATTTTGAAGGTGTGTGTGTGTAGAATGTTGCTCCTATTTTGATTTTGCAATTCACTCTTCAGTTGTCAAAATGCCGTCCAAGCAAGAAGAGCAGCGTATCAAAATTTTGCTCGCGTATCGCGAAAATCCGAGCTACTCGCACGCAAAGTTGGCAAAATCGCTAAAAGTTGCCAAATCAACCGTTACAAATGTAATTAAAGTGTTTGGGGAACGTTTGTCGACAGCCAGGAAGTCTGGATCGGGGGGACATCGAAAACCGGAAGCCGCTGAGACGTCAAAGAGAGTTGCCGGTAGTTTCAAGCGAAACCCTAACCCCTCTCTCCGAGATGCCGCAAATAAGCTGGGTGTATCGTCTACAACTGTGCATCGAGCCAAAAAACGAGCCGGACTATCGACTTACAAGAAGGTAGTGACTCCAAATCGCGATGATAAACAAAATACGACGGCCAAAGCGCGATCCCGGAGGCTGTACACGACGATGCTGACGAAGTTTGACTGCGTGGTAATGGACGACGAAACCTACATCAAAGCCGACTACAAGCAGCTTCCGGGACAGGAGTTTTATACGGCAAAAGGAAGGGGAAAGGTAGCAGATGTTTTCAAGCACATGAAACTGTCAAAGTTCGCAAAGAAATATCTGGTTTGGCAAGCCATCTGTACCTGTGGCTTGAAAAGCAGCATTTTCATAGCTTCCGGGACTGTCAACCAAGAAATTTACGTGAAAGAGTGTTTGAATAAACGTCTGCTGCCTTTCCTGAAGAAACACGGTTGTTCCGTACTGTTTTGGCCGGATTTGGCATCTTGCCATTACGGTAAAAAGGCCATGGAGTGGTACGCCGCCAACAACGTGCAGGTGGTTCCCAAGGACAAGAACCCTCCCAACACGCCAGAGCTCCGCCCAATTGAGAAATACTGGGCTACTCTCAAGCGGAACCTAAAGAAGACCAAAAAAAAACTGCTAAGGGCGAGCAGCAGTTCAAGGCAAACTGGCTTTCTGCGGCGAAGAAGGTGGACAAGGTGGCTGTACAAAATCTGATGGCAGGGGTCAAGCGTAAGGCCCGGCAATTCGGATTTGGAAAAGCGGAAGCCTAACTGAATATTTTTCCTGAATTTTATACTAATTGAACTTGAAAAAGAAATTTAATTTGATTTTTTAAATAAACGATTTCACCGATTTACACGCGTTTTCCCTTGACCAAATTTTGACCGTATCACCCTTTATGAAACATTTTAAAATTTCTGCCAAGGTTCTCTGGCGTAATTCAATATAGTATATTATTTTTTTAAATTTGCTGGATAAAGGAATTTGAAAATTCCCTGAGAATTCCAAGATTGATTATTGATTATTGATTAAAAAATTAATCTCTAAAAATCATGATTAGTGATTATGATTAATCATTATTCATTAATCAAGATAACGCTAACGCTCTGCTTGAGATAGCGTTACTGCACTGTGAATAGATATCGAGATGGCTAACTGATTCTGTATGAAATACAAAGCGTACATGGTGTGGATAGAGCCGCTGTGAGAGGCTTCCACGAAACACCTGCTAGATTGAAGTCAGCCAGAACAATTGCCTCAATGGGTTTCGATAAGTTAGTTCGTTCACGAACTCGGTCGGGTGCATTGTACACCGCACATAAATACAGAGTGTGATCACTCTGACGGCTTCCCAAGCTTGTTGCAGTACTACTCGTCGTTTTCTTCAACTGTCGTCTTCAAACTGCCACGAGGACACCACCTCCAATATGAGAAATAAACTGCAATGATAAGTCAGGCAGTAGATTAATAGTTATGTTTTCCTAGTCGACTGTTAAACTAGTTGCATTAGAACGCCGATTATTTCATCGAATGATTTCAGATATATTTTACGGGAAACTTATGCGCAAAGAATTAAACCAATTATCAATTTTAAAGTTTTTTTTTATTTACGATTTCTCTGCTGTAACTTTACGGGTTCCGTCTATTGGTTGTTGTTGTTGTTGTTGGGTTTACACTTTCACATTTCAAAAGAATGTTCACTGAATGCCTCAATAGTAACTAAATCAATAAGTAGTAGAATTTTTTATTTCAGTTCCCTTTCTAAGATAAGAATCAGCAATCAATACAAAATATATGTTTTAAGGGTTCAAGTAGAAAGAGTCTCGCGCAGCTGTAGCCCTCTAGTGCCGATGTTTATCATTAAGGATATTGCTTCTGTTGAGGAAGGTAAAACACAAAAAAAAATACCATGTGACTTTCCGGAGTAAAACTGATAACCATTTTCCTACCAGATGAAGCAAACTTTAATGAACGAATAAATACATCCAATATATATATTTTTTATATATTTATATTGTTTCTCGTTTAGCTTTCGCCTAACTAAAATATTAGACACAAAGAAAGGGGGTTAGGTTTCCTTCTCTCTTGATAATACAAAAAAAAAATCTACTTGATAAGACCCGAAAACTGCTTCCACGTCTTTCTTCGTCTGTGTTTCTCTCATCTTTTGCTTAGATAGATTTCACAGTAGAGTTACTTCTCACAGACAAAAAGCTAATGTAGTTTTTCATTTTGTTTTTAATTGTATTAAAAAGTTGATAAAGAGGACGAAACTAATTCGCTATTACTAGTGGAATAACGAGATTTTTTTTTCAACTCGTGCATTGCTTCTCACCTTTGCACAACAACAAAATCTGTACGAATTCATGCGTGTTTAGTACCAATCTACTAGTGAGCCATGCGATAGATACCTAATTCGAAAGATGGGCGGGTGAATGTAGTGGTGAGCGCCGGGAAAGGAGCAGATCGAGCACAAGCTTTCTTTCCTCGGAAAAGAACAACTTTGTTTCGCTTCGCAATTATCTTTTTTTTTTGGCCAAAAAATTATATTTGCTAATTTATTTAAACTTTACCATCACTTGTTTATGTCTGTGTGTTTGTCTCTATTGTTTATTGTATGTCTTCAAAGCGTTTCGACCGTCCATTTCTCGGCTCGAACGTTACAAATATTCGCTCTTATTTTTTTTTGGAATCCTCCGTTCATTGTATCCTCCCTTCTCTTGGTTGGTTCTTTCTAGTAAAAGTATTTCCTCTAATGAATAATTATTTTCTTATACTAGCGTTTTTTTTCTCATTATTTCCCTTCGCAAAGTCCCTCTGTGGGCGTCCACGTGTCTAAATAGATCTTGGGTTAAATCATACACTAAACTGGTTATCCCTCTTTGTTAATCTGCTGTTTCTGTAGTATCTCGAACTTGATTGCAAGAATTCTGTGACACAATTTCCTTGCCTTGTCTGATGGAGGAAAAAAACGTCCGACCGTGCTGTTGTGGCTCTGTTGTGTTGTGATCATTTAATGAAGAATCGGATAATGGTAGTAATAAGTTGTAGTATTTCAATAAGAGTACTAGTAATAGTAGTGCACATTAGTTTTAGTTCATCAGAAGAAGCAGACAAAAGCCTATTGTTCTTGTTGTTGTTGTTGTTATCTTTACGCCTTCTCCTCTCTTTTTTGGGGGGAAATATACAAGAGAAACTGAGAACAACAAAAGTAAAACTGTTCAGCAACAGCCGGACTTTGACTCGACGCTGCGGCTCTTGTCGATCTTGACGGCACTGGGCGCCTCGGCTGCGCTCGACGGTGGTCCGACGCGATTCTTGATCTCCGCTGCCATCGTCATGAATGCCTGCTCCACGTTGGTTGCGTTCTTGGCGGACGTCTCCAGGAATGGAATGCCGAGTTGGTTGGCGTATTCCTGCGGGTTTTAGAAAGGGTCAAGTTAGGCGATTCCGGATGACTGGTTGGTGATCACACATACCATAGCAGTAGTCGTGTCGACTACCTTCTTTGTCTGCAGATCACACTTGTTGCCGACCAGCAGCTTGTTGACGTTCTCACAGGCATAGCGTTCGATTTCCTCCAGCCACGTTTTCACGTTGTTGAACGATTCCTGGTCGGTGCAGTCGTACACCACGATGATACCGTGCGCACCTCGGTAGTACGACGACGTTATCGTACGGAAGCGCTCCTGACCGGCGGTATCCCACTGTAGCCGAAGGAGGAAGAGAGAAGGGAGAGCAAGAAAAATCGTTTAGTAAAGTTGAAATTCGATTTCACACACTTATTATGAGAATAATTTAATTTTCCCAACTCTGACAGCAAGTTGAATACTACGAGGGATTGACGAACAAATGCTTACTTTGCAGACAGTAGTGAATAGAGCAGTTGGAGGCCAAATAGCAAAAAAAAAAATGAATTTTTGATTCGACCTTCTTCGATTTTCACAATGGTGATGAAGAAGCCCAGAAATGGCTGAACAAAAGTTCGATTTACACGAAACTTTGCATAATTGTTTGTTATGGACAATCATTCACATTTTTGCTAAAATTCGGCCATTTCCGATCTTTTATATTTGACGTATGACTACGTCTGTGATTTCTATATTTTTTGACGTAGGATTACGTCTTTCGGCAACATATTGGGGGTGCAATTCCAAAAAAACCAAAATCGACCGCGGCATGAAAATAGGTCAGGTTTTGACCACATATACCTCTGTCAATAGCAGATGAATTTTAATTCTAAACAAGCCAAAGAATTGGGAATTTATCTACCAATTTGCTAAATTGAACACTTTATTAATTTTCAATAGGTCACTATTGAAAAATACACAAATGTCCAACTGTTGCAATGGTGATCAAAATTATCACCGATTACCTGCAAACAGCGCATTCCCTAACACAGATTTAAAAATCGAATTCGATCCTGCCTCACTAAACGGTGCTCATTTAATCACCGTGTGTGGTGGTGTCCGGTCGTCAACGTCAGCAGCAGCAGCAGCATTGATTAGCGTGTGGCGTACCCCACGAAGGCAGCCTGCAAGCAGTGAGCTGCAGAGCGCAGAGCCCACATGAGCACCCATAGAAGGAGCAAGAAGCCGCTGGATCGAAATCAGTTTCCTCGTGAGTAGCTGTGGGTCATATATGAAAAGCGTGTCAGCCTTGCTCCAAACAATTAACAGCTCGCCAACCACACCCCAATAGCTCAGCATTACTCAACCATCACGACTAAACGGTCCTTTTCAGTATCACCACAAATTTGTTAAAGAGTATGTTTTGGATATTGTAAAGGTTATCAATCGGATGTTAGTTCCCGCAAGCAGCTAACTATCAAAGCTCAACCTGGTCTATAGAAGGTGTGGAATTGTAGGCCTGAATGTATTGGTGCATTCGTTTTTCACTCGGTTTTCATTTCGATTCGCACTTTTCGTTTACTCAGTCACCCTTGTAGTGGCGTCATAATGTTTGTTTCGATCGGCATAGGAAATTAATATGGATTATAGAATTTGTGTATGTTACCAAAATTTTTGAATGGTCTGCCACTAAATGTTGAGATAATTAATTGATTATTGAATATCACACTGTGTATACAATGAAAAAGCAGCCTGTATGTGAGTTCCATATAACATACAGCTCGCCAGCCTTATCCGTGTTGAACACCCTAATAGATCAGCATTACTCAACCATCGCGAGAAAACGGTCCTTTTCAGGACCATCATAAATTTGGTAAAGAGTATTTTTTACGTAGGATTACGTCTTTCGGCAACATATTGGGGGTCCAATTTCAGAAAATCAAATTCGACCGCATTACGAAAAGAGGTCAGGTGTTGATTACATACACATAACTCTGTCAATAGCATATGGATTTTAATTCTAAACAAGCCAAACGATTGGAAATTTATCTGGCAAATTGCTACAATGAACGCTTTATTAATTTTCAATAAGTCACTATTGAAAAATACACAATGTCCACCTGTTGCAATGGTGATAAAAATTATCACCGATTACCTGCAAACAGCGCATTCCCTAACACAGATTTAAAAATCGAATTCGATCCTGCTTCACTAAAGAGCAACCGTAACGGTACGCTGCTAAACTCATTTTAGCAGCCCTCATCATAGCGCAGCTACCGTATCGGGGGCTGCCATACGCGTAACTGAAATAGCAGTCGGCTTCTCGGTGAGAAGCGCGTTACCAAATTTAGCAGCGCGGGAGGAAGGTTGCTATTCGTAGAAATGTCAAAATGCTCACTACCGGTACGGACTACGGCGAGTAAATTGATAACCGCGATAGCAGCGACCGGTGTGGAGAAGAGTGACTAAACTAAAATGAGAGCGCTGTGCGCTGTTAAAATAGTCGCACAAATGACAACGACCGTTAAGCTGGGTTTAGATAGGGCAAGTCAATTGATCAAGTCAGTTGAATTCAACTGACTTGTACGCGAATTGAACGTGTAAACCATGCCATTCAACTGACTTGATCAACTCACTTGAATTGAAAAAAAGTTGAACCAGGCTCAACTTTTCAAGCCAATTGAATTCAACTGAGTTGATCAATTGACTTGCCTTGTCTAAACCCAGCTTTACGGTTGCTCTAAACGGTGCTCATTTAATCACCGTGTGTGGTGGTGTCCGGTCGACGGTGTCCGCAGCAGCAGCATCAGTAGCAGCAGTGCTTTCGGCGTGTCGCGTTGAACATCGTTATCCAGTACACCACGAAAGGCATCCTGAAAGCAGCGAGCATCCATAGAAGGAAGAAGAAGCCGCACCGCGATCGAAATCAGTTTCCTCGTGAGAAGCTGTGGCTCATCAATGCCTAGTGCGTCAACCTTGCTCCAAACAATTAACATATCGCCAGCCTCATCTGTGTTGAACACCCTAATATCTCAGCATTACTCAACCATCACGACTAAACGGTCCTTTTCAGGACCACCACAAAATTGTTAAAGAGTATTATTTGGACATTTGTCAAGGTCATCAGTTCCCGCAACCAGTCTATAGAAGGTGTGGAATTGTAGGCCTGATTGTATTGGTGAGATTAATCATATCGTCCGGCCATTTTCCAGAGACGGAGCTGTTCCGCTACCAAATTTGTGAGAAAATTAACTCTCACGAGCTCAATCTCTCAATTGCCATGTTTTTTATGCCACCCAATTTGTGATTTCCTTTCATAGATTACAAAATAGAGTAGGGTAGAGAACTATTTCGGTCTAATCGCCGATTTTGGGCCTTTCGAGCAGAAAACTTCAAATAAATCCATGATTTCAGAGTTAACAAGTCAATTAGGCGTGTGGTACGATAATTTAGTTAATAAGCTACCGAATAAAGTCAATGAAAACGCGTGATATGAAGATTTGCACCCATTATTCCCAAAAACAAAAGAAGCGCTCCGACCGAATCAATTTTTATCTTCATCAGATAGGCCGAAGTGAATTCATTGGCGTTTCAATGCGTAAGGCCGAGTTTAGAATCCGTAGGCCGAGTTTGGCGTCAAGAAGCAGTGTTAGACTTATAACAATATCTAAACAATTTGTTTCTCTATATCAAATTTTACGGTACGTACATAAAGGTAAATAAATTTGGAAGCCATCAGTAATAATAACATTCCGTTTGGTGCTAAAATGCGCTAGATTAAGAAAGACTAAGTGCGGGTTGTGCTTAATAAGCCAGAAATGGGGTAGTGAACCCTACTACAGTACAAAACATGTCTGGTACCGCATTTAGATTAACATTCTAAGTCCCTCCTTTTTTACATATTCTGCTCAAACGCTACTTTATGCCCCGCCCCATTCATACAATTCGGAAGGAAATCCTAAGAGGGGTGAGCTATTTTGAGTGCAGAATGTGTAAAGAAGGAGGGACTTCAGTTGTTAATCTAAATGCATATATAGAGGTACCAGACATGTTTTGCACTGCACTGTCCTCTGTGAACAGTTATTGGAAAACATATTATGTGTAGTTTCCGATCGATGCCACCGCCAACAACAGCAGTGACATGAAAGCAGAAGCTTGACAAAATGATTAATCCGTTTTTCCCTCAGCTTTCATTCCGCTTTGCACGATTCGTTTTTTACTCAATCAACCTTGTAGTGACGTCAAAATGTTTGTTTCGATCGGCGCTTACATAGGAAATTTAATATGGATTATAGAATTTTTTGTAGGGGAATTAGCTCCATTGTTTTCCTATGGATCTAAGATGGGGCCCATCGCTTAAAATCTGCTATTTATCAATTTTATCCAGATGAACGCGTCATTGGGATGGTACTAATGGATATTTTTGGTTGCTTTTGAAAATTTAGTTGATTGCTGAATTTATGTATGAGCCAAAATTAGGGGCATAATGTCGAGGTAATTAATTGATTATTGAATTAGCACTCTATATACCATGAGAAAAGCAGCCTGTTTGTGAGTTTTTGCCTGTTTTCAAGTAAGGAGTCGTCATAAAAAAAAAACAATTCGTCAGCTGGTATTTCCCGGCGACTTTAAAAATAAATACAATGAAACAAAATCATCATGCAGAACTAGGATTTGTTTCACTTCATAGTTCACAAAATTGCTTTCGAGTGTTATGACATCGTCTCCCGCAAAGTTTAAATTTTGACATAGGATTACGTCTCTCGGCAACATATTGGGGATGCAATTAAAAAAAACAAAATCGACCATGTTACCAAAAGTGGTCAGGTTTTGACCACTTATAACTCTGTCAATAGCGGATGGATTTTAATACTAAATAAGCCAATCGATTGGTAATTTTCCTTCAAAGCTCATCATAGTAAAAATTATCACCGATTGCTTGCGAAAAGCGATTTCCCTAACACAGATTTCAAAGTTGAATTCCATCCGGTCACACCAAACGGTGTTTATTCAATCACCGCGTGTTGAGTGGTGGTGTTCTCCAGTACACAACGAAAGGCTGCCTGCAAGCAGCTAGCTATCAAGGCTCAACCGCTGATCGGATTCAGTTGCTCGTCTTGATTCTGTGCTTGATGTGTTTTCCCTAATACAGGGCTGGTAGTGATCAATGCTGTCAAAAATAGTGATTTTAGTGACCATGTTGAAGAAATAAGTGACCAAATAGTGACTAAAAAGTAACCTAAGGGAAGAAAATTAGTCGTTCTGATGGCATACCAAATAAATGTTTTATGTTTTAGACTTATTCAATTAGAATCTCATAAACACTTAAATATGTACGATAGGAACCTTTAGAGGGA